TTCTTTAGTTATTAGAAGCATCTACAGGCTGGTGTGCAGGCTGGTGTGTACGAAACTCGAGCGCAAAAGCTGCGACGGTGCGCCTGGTTGGGGTGCACTCCCTCGGGACGAGGCCGGCCAACGTGCAACACGCGAGGCACGTTTCAAACAGATCAAGTTTCACGTCGCGTTCGACGTGCAGCTTGCGATACTCCTAACCCTGTATCGCCGCTACTGGCCGCTACAGCATGTCCATCTCTCTATTGTACAGGTACAACGTAGTCGTGGAGTGCTGCTTACCAAAGTGCAGCGAGCTAGCCTCACCCGACAATGGCAGTCCAGCAACAGGCACCCAAGATGAGCCCGGGGAAGTGCGTCCCTCTCCAACAGTCAGAAGACGTATACGCCGCGGGAGCTTCCTCCCGCGCAGCGCGGGGCCTGTCTGCTGCCTTTGCGGTGCAATGCGGTGCAACTGGGGGCCTCGTGCACGCCCGCGCAAACCGACTCCCCCCTTACTTTTTCTTTCGCGGTGCTTCCTTCACTTTCGCGCGGAGGCTCCTGGCGCAAGACGTCGTGGAGATCGCATGCTCGGTGTCTTCCTCACAAGCTCGTGCGGAGGATCCCACATACCTTCGAGGCCCATCCCGTCCTTCGTGGCATCATGAGCGGAGCCGAACCGAAGGTTAGCAGCATGCTGCGGCGTGATAAGATATGCGTGTGGTGTGCGGTCGCATGCATCATGACCACCCTTTTGGGCGCACTGCTGCAGGCCAGTACGTAGAGGATGCCAAGGATCACGGGCTTTGTAGCGCACTGCTGCAGCCCGTACGTAGAGGATGCCACGGATCACGGGTGCGGTTTGAAGCTTCGCTTAGGTGAACCAAGCCCCAGTCGGCTCAAACAAGAACGAGCAGCCAACCGGTGTCGCCAGCCTTCGTTTGACCACTCCGCCGCCCCCCCCACCCCCACACCCCGCCGCCCGGTTACAACCTTGTTGCGTTGGTCTGTTGTCTCTTCAGAAAAAGCACGGGGATAAGTATATACCTCCCAAGCACGAGGAATGGCGCAAGAAGGGCATTCGGCTCACTGCCGGGATGCTTATCACCTACACGGACGTGGTGGGTGCATGCCTGGACTGCCTGTACGTTTGCGAAGTCATGCACACCTGACGGGTGTTGGCACTCCCAGTCTGGTGTGTTTCGACGCATTCCGCCGCGCCCGCGCACCACAGAACATCGTGCTACCTTACCTCTCTATAGGATGTTGTTGCTACAGGCCTCTAAACTATAGTGGGAAGGTTCCTTTTCCCTTCTCTGCGTCGCTTCCAAAAATGCGTGGATGGCGGCACCATGCAGCGTTTTTGGCGCGTCCTCTATATGTATGTAGTTCGAGGTCGGCTACAACAACACGTAGCACTTCGACAGCACTTGGACACCCGCTTGTGGTTGCCTGCGCTAAACCGGACGTACAGGTGTCAGCACCTGGACGTGGAAACCGCTAGCTGCTGTCTTGTGCGTCCATTCCTGCTGCTCCTCGTCGCCTCCTTGATTATTTTCGGCACATGGACTGCTCACGTCCCGTCGTGTCCCCGCGCCCGTCGAATTTTGTTTGGTTGCAACACAGCTTAGGGTTGGAATGAGACCCTGGATACGGGCGTTCGTGACAGAAGTGCGGTCGGAGGAGGATCGCGATCCCAACCTCTTGCCCTTCAGTGTCAACAACATGAAGATGTGAGTGATGAGGTAGCCGGTGGGCACGAACGCATGCCTTTAATTGGCGCAGGGTCAAGTTGCCCGTTTGAATCGGCCGACATTGCGTTGATTTGTTGTATTTTGGGCGACGCATGGCTACATTCTGGTTGCCGCTTGGCGTACATGTGTTCGTTCGAAGGGCAGCCTCGAAGCACGATTCAAGGATAGGAGACATATGATACCTATTCTCCCGACGCTATCGCATCACCTCCCTGTACAAGTTCCCCACATGGCTTACCGAACACACAACAGGGGGCTATGCAGCGTTGTACAAAACGGAATGACGGAATGACGCTGCTCACACTGTAGTCATCCGAAAAGATCATTCCGATTTCCCCGCCCGCCCGTTCGTTCTTGCGCCTTGCTACGAAAGGCCCGACAGCAACTCCAACTGCCGCCTAGGACGCCCCCGCCGTCACCTCCGATGTGTCTGCTGCTGTAGACGGTGCCGTCTTCTCGCTCATGTTGGCACCCAGCGCCGCACCCGCCACGGCGGTGATGCCGCCGTCAACTTGCGTCAGGTCCACGTTGCCTGCTGTCGCTGTCGATGCCGCCGCGCCTTTTGTGACGCGGCGCTTCGGCCTCGCGGCCACCGGCGCTGCCGCTGTCTTCTTGGCCTTCTTGATAGCACCCGGCGCGGCGCCCGCCACGGCGGTGACGCCGCCGTCATCTTGCTTTCGG